ACCCAAACCAGTCTGGGGTTCTATGGATTTCGCAGTAATTCAGTCATATAATGGTTTAGAAAATGAGAGAGTAGAAGCTGAGTGTGTCTGGACTAAAAGCATGTAGAGGTCGTGTAGCATCCTCAGGTTTGCTCCTCATGACTTTGACTGCACAGTTTGGAGTAGGATATGAGATATCTTTGGTTACACTGGTGAGAGTCAATCTCTGTGAAGGCCACAAAGGGCTCAGGTCAGTTCTCAGCTGTTTCCTCCAACACTGCAAGCCCTGGAGAGCTCACAGCCTTCACTTAGCTGCTTACAGTTGAAATAAGCACTGGAGAGAGGCTAAATTTTGCCTCACTGATATCCATATACTTGTACATACTTTCCACCTGGAGCCTTCACCCTGCCCACTGCCTGTGGCTTGGGAGCCTTTGGCTCACATTGCTGTTTGTGTTTCATTAAAGGGATTTTCACCTTGCTCCACAGCCAGAGCAGCTGTGGATGTTGTTGGTTCTTCAGAAACAGAGGATGAGTTCCCTTCTTATCTTCTCTAGTATTTTTAGACACTCATGACCAACCAAAGTGTTTCTCCAGCTTCGATTTCTCTCTTTGTATATTCTTTTTCCTCCAAGTAACGTTTACAGAAAGCCCAAACAGCTGCTTTATTCCGTGCAGGAAGCAGCCAAAGTGACCAGGCAGCCATCAGGAGCTCAGTACACCCAGAAGAGTGAGTTTCCCTGGGAGTCAGGCTGGGAGCAGATGGTTGGGAGTGAGGCAGAGGGAAGCCAAGCAGAGCATCTCCAACAGGAGAGCAGCGACTGAGCCGTGGCCATGGGACTTGGCTCCTGCTTTTTGGCTGAGCTCGAGGGGCAGATGGGGAGTGACAGAGGGAAGATGAGCTGCTTGTTAACATCAGCTCACAGAGTGGAATTTCCCCTGGAAGCAAATTAACCCCTTTATTGAAGCAGTTGAAGTGTTGCTGCTGAGGTCTGTGTAGTAACAGCCACCGGAAGGAACCTTTAAAAATCCCAACAACTCCACAGCCCCAAGTGGTGCAGGACATGCTGATCCTCACTGCACTCCATTAAACAGCCTCTCCTAACATCTGGCCTTCTAGAGCACATAAAAATGTTTTCCTTCTGGCAGCAGTTTTTATGGAGATGTAATAATACAAGTTTTTTCGAAAGAAAAATGAATTCTCTTTTCAGGTTCTGCTTCTTACCACAAGCTCAGCCTGTTCAGGTGTGAGGAGACACAGTAAGGAGCCCCTGGAAGTAACTGACCCCACTGCCAGATCCATGGTTACCCCAACTCTGGGCAATTAGCTGATAGTTCCCAAACTAAGGTCAGGTTTATACTCTCCCTCACTGCAGCTGGATCCATTCTCCAGGCACTGTGTCTCCATTCCATGTAAACAATCCAGCTACAATCTAAAGGCAAGATGAAGTGTCCTCGTGCTCCTTCTCCCCCTTCTAGGTTATCTTTTGCCTTCAGGGTTCCAAGTAAATGACATGCTTCCCCAAGCCTCTTGCAGACTTGGCTTATTAGAAGAAACCTGTAGCTGGCTCAGATTTTTAAACTCTCCCCTGAGGGAGGGATAGGAACAGATGGATAAGAGAATTCAGGGGGATTAGTGAAACCCTTTGAAGATTGATCTTCCCACTGCATTTTTCTCCTGATTTTGTTTTTGTGCCATCTCAGCACATATTGTATCTGTTGAGGTCTCTGGGCCTGATGGTTATTGTTCAACAGCTTGTCCATGTCTTAGCCACAATTTTCACCTCAAGAAGTGGGGAAGATGTTCTTTATCCTAGCACAGACCATGGATGGATGTGATATGGGGCAGAATCAGATGAAATAAAGCCAGTGTTGCATCTGCAGCTCCAACTCCTATTTTTTGATATTAGGGATGAAAAGTCTCACCTAGTCCAGGTATTTGTTTCCTGCACTAAGAGCTTTGGTGTCATTACACACCTGAGTTGTTCCAGCTCTGAATTTCTGCTGCCAGAGTCACTCTGCTCCTTTCTGCTCCTCCAGACTTCCTTTGTACTTCCTTCCCCCTCATACTCAGGTAAATGTTTGTTCAGCTTTTGGTCTAAAAAGAAAGAACTACAAACTACCAAAGTTTTCTTCCCACATTATTTCGTAGCTTAAAACATCTCCACTCCTGCAGGTCATTGTGGGGTTTGTATTCCCTGCATTTTCTCTCTCCCCTGGAGGGTAAACAGTGCCTGAGGTGCCTTTTGCCAGGAGATGCTGAGGATGGAGGATGTGCCCCAGGAGTGAGCAGCAGTGGTGTTTGAGGTGAAGATGAAAAGAAAGAGCTATCACCCACCTGGAATACCACACCCTGTGCTGCAGAGCTGTACATGGTCACTCTGGGACATCTCCTGCAGCCCCTCAGTAGGTTGGGAGTGACAGTTTTGTAGTCTGTCCACACCAGGGGTTTAATTGCTTCATGGTTTTTATTACACTACATTTTCTGTTACCAACATGGGAACCTTTGGCAAGTTCTGGGAGTTCTCAGCACGTTCCTGGTCTGTTTGCACACTGCAGGAGGAGGCACTGCAGGATTCTGAGACCACTTCTTCCATCCCTCCTGGGTGCTGTCCCACCCTGCCCTCAGGTTCCCACGTTATCAATGGATCTGTGTTTCCTTTGCAGATGGAGAAGGATGAGACTGTGAGTGACTCCTCTCCACACATAGCCAATATCGGGCGCTTGGTAGAGGTAAGTGCTGTGGCAGCAGCTCTTGGCTGCTGCAGCTTCTCTGGCCCAAATCTGCTGCCATGCCTAAGGGTTTTGTTGCTTTTGCCTTTCCACACAAGTGATTTATTCCTGTTGTGCCTGTTGCTGGTGTGTGGTGGCTCAGGACTCCTCCTGGCATCACTTCCAGCTGTTTGTGGACACAAACCACCACTCTGCCCTGTTCTCCTGCTCAGCACAGCCATAACCTTCCTGTAAAACAAATGTTCCATCCCTGAGAATTAATTAGCAATTTCCTACTCCCATATTTGCCTCTGCAGTCACTTTTGGGCAGAATTATTTCAAGTCAGGTTTGCTCTACACATCTGTCCCTTGAGCTGAAGGTTCAGTGTGTATCAACCACATGTTAAATCCCCTGGACTTGGTTTTGGAGTTGGATTTCATGACAACTGTCAGTGCTGTGAGCTCAGCATGAGGAGTGAAGCTGCTCAGAAGGTGCAACACCAGTTTGCTCTGTCACTGCACTGTCCTGTATGATTTGTGTTCCCAATTTCCTAGGTCTTCATAGCCACTGTGGCAAGAGAGGAGAAAATCCTCAACTCAAATAGACTATAATGTATTTTTAAGGGAACTGGGGGATGAAGGGAAGGCACCTACCTCTTTTTCATCCCTTTTCTAAGCTTTGGGGGAAAGCAATGGAGTGAAAAAAATGCTGCTTAATTACAGGATCTGTCTCAAAACTCTTGGCCATGCAGCAATGAATAAGTTACTAGCTCAGAAATTCAAAATAACTCATAACCTACGGACTGTTGGTTATCCTAAATGATTGACTTGGCACTTGGAGTCAGCTCAGTGCCAGGAAATTGCAGAGGAAGGTTAGGGTGAGATGCATTTTGCTTCCCTGCAGAAACATGGATAGCTGGAGAGAAACTGCCCTCTCGTGGTCCTGAGAGACATCCCAGAGCCTGGAGTGGTTAACTGGGAGCAGAGCACAGGATAAGCCTTTATTTCTTTGCCAAGAGCAGGGATTGGGTCACAGTGTGTTGGTGAGAACCCACCAGGTCAGAGCTGTGACAGGTTGGGCACATCAAGGTGACCCAAGGGCTGCACAGTCCTGCAAACAGCTGATGTGCCTAATGATCTGGTTTCTTCCTTTTCCCTAGGACATGGAAAACAAAATCAGGAGTACACTGAACGAGATTTATTTTGGAAAGACAAAGGACATCGTTAATGGGCTGAGGTAAGGGAACTCCAGTGGGGTGGGACCCCCTGGTCTGCTCTCATTTCCCCTCCCTGTGCTCTGGAGCATTAGTTGTGTAGAGTTCAGGGTACAGAAATCTGAAGCAATGTTTTAATCCTTTATTCCTTCACCAGGAGGTCAAGAACCCAATGAACACTATTTGTATTTCAGGATGATTTTTAATGAGTTTTATTCCTCACAGTCCTGCAAATTATACTTAAATTCTGCCTTCTCCTTCTACTGTTCTTAAAACCAGTGCCAGAATTAAGTCATGACATGAGTGGTTTGTGGTATTTAGACTTTGCTTTAAGTTGTGACTTTTTCTGTCAACACCACAGGCCAAAATGTAGTGTGCTAGGACAGATTAAGGGAGT